AAAAAAAAAAAAAAAAAAATTCAGTCATGCCTAGTGGCTCATGTCTGTAATCCCAGCACTTTGAGAGGCCAAGGCGGGAAGACCAGTTGTGCCCAGGAGCTTGAGATTAGCCTGTGCAATATAGTGAGACTTCGTCTCTACGAAAGAAAAAACAAAAAATTAAACATAGCCAAGCATGGTTGTGTGTGCCTGTAGTTCCAGCTACTCAGGAGGCTGGGGTGCGAGGATCACTTGAGCCTGGGAGGTGGAGGTTGAAGTTAGCTGAAATCACACTGCTGCACTCCAGCCTAGTTGACAGAACAAGACACTATCTGGAAAAAAAAAAAAAAATCAACATATTAATTTTACATATAGGCATGCCACATATGTGTGTATTTAACACAACATGTAATGGCTCTGTGCTAAGCCTGGTGATGCCTAATTGGTCGCTGCCATCCAAAGCTGACAGTCTGATGGAGGAGACAGAGAAGAAACCAGACAATTATTTTTATTTATTTATTTATTTATTTTGAGACAGAGTCTTGCTCTATCGCCCAGGCTGGAGTGCACTGGCAAGATCTCGGCTCACTGCAACTTCTGCCTCCCGGGTTCAAGCAATTCTCCTGCCTCAGCCTCCCAAGTATCTGGGATTACAGCTGCACACCACCACGACCAGCTAAGTTTTGTATTTTTATTAGAGACGGGGTTTCACCATGTTGGCCAGGCTGGTCTTGAACTCCTGACTTCAGGCTATCCACCCGCCTCGGCCTCCCAAAGTGCTGGGATTACAGGTGTGAGGCACTGTGCCTGGCCGAAACCAGACAATTTTAACACAGGGTGATGGGGCTTTGAAGGGGGGATACAAAGAAAGTCAGAAAGTGACTAGTCAATTCTAGACTTTGCTCCCTTTCCTGAGCTTGACTTCAGGGTCTACCGGCTTCTGGGCCATATCTTGGGGTCTACTGGGACCTTAGCAAAACCTCACTGCCTCCTCTACCAAGTGAGAAGTGTTGCCTGAACACTCTAGAAACCAGGTGTTCAACCCGCAGAGGAGGAAGCATGAAGAAAATTAGGTTTTCTCCTCGTCTGAGAGCTATCAGAGCGGAAATCTCAGTCTTGTGTGGGGACCTGAAGGCTGGGGAGGAAGTGACCGCCTTCATATGCCTGGGCTGGCTCAGCAATTTGCAGTCTCCCCTGGGACCTGGGGGGTTGGGGCATGGGGGTGATGTAAAGGCTGCAGACATATGTGGCCGTCTGCCAGGGGAACTGTGGCTCCCAGACAAAGGTGATGTCCCCGGGGACACACAGACACACCGACATGCAACTTCCGCCTCCCTCCCACTTCTGGTTCAACACAATGTCTTCGCCAGGTCAGCCAAGGGAGCGGTACGGAGGACTGGAAAACGCTGGAGGCCTGGACTTCCTGATGGTCTTGCGGGGGTCAGGAGGAGAGCTTGGCCGACCCCGGTGGTGGGGGGGGCCTGAGTGAGAGAACAGTGGAGGAGGAAGGAAACAGGGCCCTTTTCTTGGAGAAC